CTGTGGCCGTGCAGGGACGCACACGGGAGGCTGGGAGGAGAGCTGCTGGGAGGAGTCACCTGGTGGTGCTTCAGCTGCCTTCTGCTCGCTCTCACATGACCAGCTAAGTGCCCCTTCCTCCGCGCCCTCACCCTTGCCTGCCACATCATATCGTCTTGTCCTTTTCTGTCAGTTTGTTGGTCGCTTGTGCTTTCGCACTTCTCCTTGAATCAGTGCCACTGCTTGGGACCGGCCCACATGCCACAGACCCCCTTACTTCAGGTATTTTTTCAGGTGCAGGTATCCCCCTCAGGTACTGCAGGTTCCCTTGGGGTCTGTGACTTGTGGCCGTGCTTCAATCAGTGGCCCCTCCTATCTTCCTGAACTGTCAGCTTCTGGTGTTTCCCTTGTGCTTCTGGCCATTCCATGCACGCTCACTGCTGCTCTGTGTCTGTGCCTTGCTGGTGGAGGGGAGGGGCGTGGAGTCAACACCGACGCTCCCTCACGCCTCTCCCCTGTGGCCGTGCAGGTGCACACACGGGAGGCTGGGAGGAGGGCTGCTGGGGAGTTGTCACCTGGTGGTGCTTCAGCTGCCCTGGTGCTTCTTCGACTGTCACCTGCTCTCACGCCACCAGCTAAGTGCCCTCCTCCGCGCCCTCTCCCTTGCCTGCCACCTCGTTTGCTGTCAATTTCTTGGCTGTTGGTGCTTTCACCCTTCTCCTTGAATCAGTGCCACTGGTAGGGCCCGACTCACATGCCACAGACCCTCCTACGTCAGGTTTGCCCCTCATGTCTAGGTATCCCTCTCAGGTGCAGGTTTCCCTTTCAGGTATGCAGGTCCCCTTAGGGTCTGTTGCGTGTGGTCGTGCCTCCCCAGTGGCCCCTTCTTCCTTCCTCCACGCATGGCAGTGACTGCTCTCTGACTTGTGCTTGGGGCCTTTCCTTGCAATCCCACTCACCACTGCTCTCGCTGTGCATTTCTGGAGGGGAGGGGCGTGGGGTCAACACCGACGCTCCCTCACGCCTCTCCCCTGTGGCCGTGCAGGTAACCGTGGGGACGGGAGGGAGGCAGCGCTGCAGCAGATTGAAATCGACCCCGCGAGGGAGAGTATGGGGCTGGGCGTGGCCTCTCAAGGTACGTTACCTTCCTCCTTGCCGGTTCTTTCCCTCTGCACCCACTCTTTGCTGTGAAGTCTGTGAAATGCTTTTTCTCGCTCATCCTTCTCTATCCCTCTTGCCTGTCTTCACTCACTCGCCTCCTGCCCTCTCTCCGCTCTGCCCCCCCCCCGCCAGATCACTTGACGTGCAGCAGAGGAGGCTGAGTGGTGGGGACGGGAAGGAGGCAGCACTGCAGCGGATTGCAATCGCTGCCACGAGGGAGAGTATGGGGATGGGCGTGGCCTCTCAAGGTGAGCCCTTTGCCTGCTCTTCCGCACTGGACTCGCTTTCTGCTGGAAGCCTGTGAATGCTCATCCTTCTCGTTGCCCTTTCCTGTTTTTTCAAGCTTGCCCTTTCCATTCCTGTACTCAGTCGCCTCCTTGCCTCCGCTCCTCTCCTCCCCCTTCCAGATCACCCTGCAGGAGCAGCAGGAGGGGAGAGGAGGGAAAGGGAGGGGAGGGGAGGGGAAGGGAGTGGAGGGGAGGGGAGGGGAGGGGAGGGGAGGGGAGGGGATATGAGACAGCAGGCCTCATTGGTTCTTCATCTGCCAGCTAAGTGCCTTCTCCCCCCTCACTGACTCGCTCGTTTTCGCATGTGCTTGCTACTGTGCTTTGTTTGCCCCTCAATATCTCGCCACTGGTTGGGGCCCGGTTCAGAAGCCACAGACCTTTCTTTTCTCCTGGTAAGCCCCTCAGGTTCAGCCCTCCCTAGGCCTTACAGCCCCCTCAGGTATTCCCCCTACTGCAGGTTTATCCCCTCAGGTTCCCTCTAGGTCTGTGGCTTGTGGCTGTGTCTCCACCAGTGGCCCCTTCCCTCCTTGGCTTGTCCCATGTTTGAACCCTCTGTTGCCTGTCTAGCTTGCTCCCATGATTGCACACTAACTACCTCTATTTGTGTGTCACAGGTGGAGGGGAGGGGTGTGGGGTCAACACCGACGTTCCCTCACCTCGCGCCCCTCCCCTGGGGCCGTGCAGGTGGCAGTGGTGGGAGGGGAGGGGGGCAGCACACCACTCAGCTGGGATGGGATGGGAGAGTATTGGACCTGGGTCTCCTGAACAAGGTGAGCTGCTGTTTCCTCTTCCCTTCACTCGTGCGGCTGCTCGGTTTTCTCCCTATTCTCACTTCACTTTCTTGCTCCCTTTGTACCTTTACGCTTCTGCCTGCTCATCTCCCCATGCTCACAGCTGTCCCTTGCTCCCTGCACCCCTCCCGCCGCCTCCCTCGCAGCACCCAGTGCAACCGAGGCTGTAGCAGGGAGGAAGGGGGCAGCAGGAGGGTAGCAGGAGGGCAGCAGGAGGGCAGCAGGACGGCAGCAGGAGGGAGAGTATGGGGTGGGACATGGAGTGCACAAACAGCAAACCCAGCCCACCACAGCTAAGTACCCTCGCCGCCTCTCTACTCCCAACCCTTGCGCTTGTGTTGCATTTCGTGTCTTACTTGCACCATGCACCATACACTTTTCCCTGCTGCGCTTTATCACACTCAAGGGACCTCCCTCCCCAAGGTAACAGGTACAATCTCTGGTAAAGCCTCAGGTATTTGATTCAGTGTGGTTCAGCTGGTACGAGGTCTCTTGGGTGTGCCACTGCAGCAGCAATCCATTCACCCCCTGCACATCGTTCTTTCACTTTCTTCAGACTTCTCTCTCGCTTTACTCACTCGTCTATGTTTCTTTCCTCATTTCCCTTCCCACATCTCTGCTCCCCCTTCACACCTCCGTCCTCTTCCTCCCCATCTCCGTCCCCTCCTCCCTTCCTCTCTCTGTCCCACTCTGCAACCCTCTCCTCCCAGCAGCTCGCTCACACGGGAGTGGCAGTGGCGGGGGATATGGAGTGCACACGCAGCAGCTGCTCTCCACCCAACCTTCACACAGCTAAGTCCCTGTCCTGCTGTGCTTCTCCCAATTTCCCCTCTTGAGTTTGTTTGCTTTCCATGTTCATCCTTGCTGCGCCTTCGGTATCGCAAGCCTCTTGTTGAGCCAAGGCTTCAGGCCACAATCCCTTTTTCTTGGGTAATCCTCCCCTGGTATAGCAGGTAACCCCCCCTTTGGTATACCCCACCCCCCTTGGTATGTGGCTTGTTGCTGAGGCTGAACCAGTGGCCCCCTCCCCTCTCGTTTTTCCTATTGCTTGTTGTGCATCCACCCTCCTCCTTCACCCCTTCGCCTCTCCACCAGTCACTCACTATTTCTCCGTGGGTCATTGCAGGTGGAGGGGAGGGGCGCGGGGGTCAACACCGCCACTACCCAGCACCCCTCCCCTTGTGGCCGTGCAGGTGGCAGTGGTGGGAGGGGAGGGGGGCAGCACTCCACTCGGCTGGGATGGGATGGGAGAGTATTGGGATGGGTCGCCTCAACAAGGTGAGTCTCTTTTCTCCTCCCTGCCAAAGCTGGTTTCGTGTCTGCTGTTACCTTCACTCATGCTGCTGCTTGGTCTTCTCACTGCTGTCCCTTCTCCCCTGTCTCCCTCCCACACCCCCCCTCTCAGCATTCTGCCAGCGCCCAGTGCATTGACGGATGTAGCAGGGCGGCAAGGGGGCAGCAGGAGGGCAGCAGGAGGGGAAGTATGTAGCTGGACAGTAGTGCAGGCAGCAGCTGCTCTCCATCGAAACCACCCACAGCTAAGTCCCTGCTCTACTGTTCTTCCCCTTATCTGCACTTTTTTGTTTTCATGTTGATCGTTTGCTGCATCTCTGGTTTTTTTCTCTCTTCAAACACAAGCCTCTAGTTTAGCCAAAGCTTCAAGTCACAGTCCCTTTTTCTCTGGTAAACCCCCCCTGGTACAGCCGGTATACTCTCAGGTCAAACCCCCCTTTGGTATAAACCCCTTTTTGGTATCAACCCCCCTTTGGTATTAACCCCCCTGTGGTATTAACCCCCCTTTGATGTTAACGCCCCTTTGGTATTAACCCCCGTTTAGTATTAACCCCCCTTTGGTTAAAACCCCCCTCTGGTATAAACCCCCCTTTGGTATGTGGCTTGTAGCTGAGGCTGCACCAGTGCCCCCCTCCCCTTTCTGATCGCTTCTCGAGCATGCATCCCTCTCCTTCACCCCCTCGCCTCTCCACCAGTCACTCACTATTTCTCCGTGGGCCATTGCAGGTGGAGGGGAGGGGCGTGCGACACCGCCACTTCCCACGCCTCTCCCCGGGTGGCCTTGCAGGTACTTACGGGGGATGGGAAGGAGGCAGCACTGCAGCGGACTCAAATGGTGCTGCTAGGGAGAGTATCGGGATGGGTTTGGCCCCTCAAGGTGCGTTACCTCACACCTCTCCCTCCCTCGAGTTCACTCACAGCAGTAGCTCTCTCTTCAATTCTGCATTCTCGTTTTTCTCCACTCAGGTGTTCTTCTGTTTGCCTGATTGTTTTTGTTCACGCCAACTCACCAGTTCCTCCTGCCCCTCCTCTCCTTTCCCTACCCTCCCTTCTCTGCCCCCTACCAGGTCACTTGGCTTCAAGAGAAGATAGCAGCAGAGGAAGCAGAGTAGCAGACCGGCAGAAGCAGTTGCAGCAGCAGAAGCAGCAGTGGGGGCTGGGGGGCTAGAGGGCAGCCTAGGTGTAGCTGTGGGGAGGTGCGGTATCAGGTGTGGTAGGTAACAGGTAAGGTATGGTAACAAGTGAGGTATGGTAGTCTGATCCCCTCCTCTTTCTCTTTCTTCCCCCTCTCCCTCACAGTCTGAGGGTGGGAGCACTGGAGCAGAGGAGCAAGGGCGGGAGAGTGGAGTCCACCCTCTCACTCACCTCCTCCTCGCTCCCTTTTCCCCACCCCTCCCAGCAGCACCGTGCCTGGATCACAGTGGAGTCCCGCCCTCCCCTAATCCCCCACTCCCCACTTCCCAGCAGCCTCACCATCATGGCGCTCTGCATGGCTCTGGTAGGTACAGGTAGGTAGGCATGGGGGTGAAGTGTGGGGTGGGTGGGGGGAAGCATGGGAGCAAGCAGGGAGTTCACTTCCTGAGGGGCAGCATTCTCAGGGGCTGTGCCTTGTGGGTTGGGGTGTGGAGGGTGGAATCTCCGCGGCACGGCACTCGGTGCTCAGGTTCCCAATCTGGCGTTTAAGGCTTAATGGACACCGTCAGAGCCGACCGGCCGGCGGCTCTGGTTCGCGTCAGCTCTAGCCACGTCAGGGGCGGGATTTGAGTCTTGGGCTGGAAGCGATTTTCCACTGCCACACCTCGCCCGACAAAGCACAACTTCTGCGGATGGTGTTTCCGAAAGGGGGTGGGCTGTCTGCTGCTCCTACTGCTGGCAGGTGAAGTTGGGGTGCTAACTTCCCTCTGTATCCTCCCTCTGTCACCTCTCTCTGTTCGCTTCCCTCTGTACCTTCCCTTGGTACCTTCCCTCAGTTCCTTCCCTCAGTTCCCTCCCTCAGTTCCTTCCCTCAGTTCCTTCCCTTAGTTCCCTCCCTCAGTTCCATCCCTCAGTTCCTTCCCTCAGTTCCTTCCCTCAGTTCCCTCCCTCAGTTCCCTCCCTCAGTTCCTTCCCTCAGTTCCCTCCCTCAGTTCCCTCCCTCAGTTCCTTCCCTCAGTTCCCTCCCTCAGTTCCCTCCCTCAGTTCCTTCCCTCAGTTCCTTCCCTCAGTTCCCTCCCTCAGTTCCTTCCCTCAGTTCCCTCCCTCAGTTCCCTCCCTCAGTTCCTTCCCTCAGTTCCTTCCGTCAGTTCCCTCCCTCAGTTCCTTAGTTCCCTCCCTCAGTTCCTTCCCTCAGTTCCTTCCCTCAGTTCCCTCCCTCAGTTCCCTCCCTCAGTTCCCTCCCTCAGTTCCTTCCCTCAGTTCCCTCCCTCAGTTCCTTCCCTCAGTTCCTTCCCTCAGTTCCTTCCCTCAGTTCCTTCCCTCAGTTCCCTCCCTCAGTTCCTTCCCTCAGTTCCCTCCCTCAGTTCCCTCCCTCAGTTCCTTCCCTCAGTTCCTTCCCTCAGTTCCCTCCCTCAGTTCCCTCCCTCAGTTCCCTCCCTCAGTTCCTTCCCTCAGTTCCTTCCCTCAGTTCCCTCCCTCAGTTCCCTCCCTCAGTTCCCTCCCTCAGTTCCCTCCCTCAGTTCCTTCCCTCAGTTCCTTCCCTCAGTTCCCTCCCTCAGTTCCTTCCCTCAGTTCCCTCCCTCAGTTCCCTCCCTCAGTTCCTTCCCTCAGTTCCCTCCCTCAGTTCCCTCCCTCAGTTCCTTCCCTCCTTCCCTCAGTTCCCTCCCACAGTTCCTTCCCTCAGTTCCCTCCCTCAGTTCCTTCCCTCAGTTCCTTCCCTCAGTTCCCTCCCTCAGTTCCTTACCTCAGTTCCCTCCCTCAGTTCCCTCCCTCAGTTCCCTCCCTCAGTTCCCTCCCTCAGTTCCTTCCCTCAGTTCCTTCCCTCAGTTCCCTCCCTCAGTTCCTTCCCTCAGTTCCCTCCCTCAGTTCCCTCCCTCAGTTCCCTCCCTCAGTTCCCTCCCTCAGTTCCTTCCCTCAGTTCCCTCCCTCAGTTCATTCCCTCAGTTCCTTCCCTCAGTTCCCTCCCTCAGTTCCTTCCCTCAGTTCCTTCCCTCAGTTCCCTCCCTCAGTTCCCTCCCTCAGTTCCCTCCCTCAGTTCCTTCCCTCAGTTCCCTCCCTCAGTTCCTTAGCTCCCTCCCTCAGTTCCTTCCCTCAGTTCCTTCCCTCAGTTCCCTCCCTCAGTTCCCTCCCTCAGTTCCCTCCCTCAGTTCCTTCCCTCAGTTCCCTTCCTCAGTTCCTTCCCTCAGTTCCTTCCCTCAGTTCCTTCCCTCAGTTCCTTCCCTCAGTTCCCTCCCTCAGTTCCTTCCCTCAGTTCCCTCCCTCAGTTCCCTCCCTCAGTTCCTTCCCTCAGTTCCTTCCCTCAGTTCCCTCCCTCAGTTCCCTCCCTCAGTTCCCTCCCTCAGTTCCTTCCCTCAGTTCCTTCCCTCAGTTCCCTCCCTCAGTTCCCTCCCTCAGTTCCCTCCCTCAGTTCCCTCCCTCAGTTCCCTCCCTCAGTTCCTTCCCTCAGTTCCCTCCCTCAGTTCCCTCCCTCAGTTCCCTCCCTCAGTTCCCTCCCTCAGTTCCCTCCCTCAGTTCCTTCCCTCAGTTCCCTCCCTGAGTTCCCTCCCTCGGTTCCCTCCCTCAGTTCCCTCCCTCAGTTCCTTCCCTCAGTTCCCTCCCTCAGTTCCTTCCCTCAGTTCCCTCCCTCAGTTCCTTCCCTCAGTTCCTTCCCTCAGTTCCCTCCCTCAGTTCCCTCCCTCAGTTCCCTCCCTCAGTTCCTTCCCTCAGTTCCTTTCCTCAGTTCCCTCCCTCAGTTCCTTCCCTCAGTTCCCTCCCTCAGTTCCCTCCCTCAGTTCCCTCCCTCAGTTCCCTCCCTCAGTTCCTTCCCTCAGTTCCTTCCCTCAGTTCCCTCCCTCAGTTCCTTCCCTCAGTTCCCTCCCTCAGTTCCCTCCCTCAGTTCCTTCCCTCAGTTCCCTCCCTCAGTTCCCTCCCTCAGTTCCTTCCCTCCTTCCCTCAGTTCCCTCCCTCAGTTCCTTCCCTCAGTTCCCTCCCTCAGTTCCTTCCCTCAGTTCCTTCCCTCAGTTCCCTCCCTCAGTTCCTTACCTCAGTTCCCTCCCTCAGTTCCCTCCCTCAGTTCCCTCCCTCAGTTCCCTCCCTCAGTTCCTTCCCTCAGTTCCTTCCCTCAGTTCCCTCCCTCAGTTCCTTCCCTCAGTTCCCTCCCTCAGTTCCCTCCCTCAGTTCCCTCCCTCAGTTCCCTCCCTCAGTTACCTCCCTCAGTTCCTTCCCTCAGTTACCTCCCTCAGTTCCTTCCCTCAGTTCCCTCCCTCAGTTCCTTCCCTCAGTTCCTTCCCTCAGTTCCCTCCCTCAGTTCCCTCCCTCAGTTCCCTCCCTCAGTTCCCTCCCTCAGTTCCTTCCCTCAGTTCCCTCCCTCAGTTCCTTCCCTCCTTCCCTCAGTTCCCTCCCTCAGTTCCTTCCCTCAGTTCCCTCCCTCAGTTCCTTCCCTCAGTTCCTTCCCTCAGTTCCCTCCCTCAGTTCCTTCCCTCAGTTCCTTCCCTCAGTTCCCTCCCTCAGTTCCCTCCCTCAGTTCCTTCCCTCAGTTCCCTCCCTCAGTTCCCTCCCTCAGTTCCTTCCCTCCTTCCCTCAGTTCCCTCCCTCAGTTCCTTCCCTCAGTTCCCTCCCTCAGTTCCTTCCCTCAGTTCCTTCCCTCAGTTCCCTCCCTCAGTTCCCTCCCTCAGTTCCCTCCCTCAGTTCCCTCCCTCAGTTCCTTCCCTCAGTTCCCTCCCTCAGTTCCTTCCCTCCTTCCCTCAGTTCCCTCCCTCAGTTCCTTCCCTCAGTTCCCTCCCTCAGTTCCTTCCCTCAGTTCCTTCCCTCAGTTCCCTCCCTCAGTTCCTTCCCTCCGTTCCCTCCCTCAGTTCCCTCCCTCAGTTCCCTCCCTCAGTTCCCTCCCTCAGTTCCCTCCCTCAGTTCCTTCCCTCAGTTCCCTCCCTGAGTTCCCTCCCTCAGTTCCCTCCCTCAGTTCCCTCCCTCAGTTCCTTCCCTCAGTTCCCTCCCTCAGTTCCTTCCCTCAGTTCCCTCCCTCAGTTCCTTCCCTCAGTTCCTTCCCTCAGTTCCCTCCCTCAGTTCCCTCCCTCAGTTCCCTCCCTCAGTTCCTTCCCTCAGTTCCTTCCCTCAGTTCCCTCCCTCAGTTCCTTCCCTCAGTTCCCTCCCTCAGTTCCCTCCCTCAGTTCCCTCCCTCAGTTCCTTCCCTCAGTTCCTTCCCTCAGTTCCCTCCCTCAGTTCCTTCCCTCAGTTCCTTCCCTCAGTTCCCTCCCTCAGTTCCTTCCCTCAGTTCCCTCCCTCAGTTCCCTCCCTCAGTTCCCTCCCTCAGTTCCCTCCCTCAGTTCCTTCCCTCAGTTCCCTCCCTCAGTTCCCTCCCTCAGTTCCCTCCCTCAGTTCCCTCCCTCAGTTCCCTCCCTCAGTTACCTCCCTCAGTTCCTTCCCTCAGTTACCTCCCTCAGTTCCTTCCCTCAGTTCCCTCCCTCAGTTCCTTCCCTCAGTTCCTTCCCTCAGTTCCCTCCCTCAGTTCCCTCCCTCAGTTCCCTCCCTCAGTTCCCTCCCTCAGTTCCTTCCCTCAGTTCCCTCCCTCAGTTCCTTCCCTCCTTCCCTCAGTTCCCTCCCTCAGTTCCTTCCCTCAGTTCCCTCCCTCAGTTCCTTCCCTCAGTTCCTTCCCTCAGTTCCCTCCCTCAGTTCCTTCCCTCAGTTCCTTCCCTCAGTTCCCTCCCTCAGTTCCCTCCCTCAGTTCCTTCCCTCAGTTCCCTCCCTCAGTTCCCTCCCTCAGTTCCTTCCCTCCTTCCCTCAGTTCCCTCCCTCAGTTCCTTCCCTCAGTTCCCTCCCTCAGTTCCTTCCCTCAGTTCCTTCCCTCAGTTCCCTCCCTCAGTTCCCTCCCTCAGTTCCCTCCCTCAGTTCCCTCCCTCAGTTCCTTCCCTCAGTTCCCTCCCTCAGTTCCTTCCCTCCTTCCCTCAGTTCCCTCCCTCAGTTCCTTCCCTCAGTTCCCTCCCTCAGTTCCTTCCCTCAGTTCCTTCCCTCAGTTCCCTCCCTCAGTTCCTTCCCTCCGTTCCCTCCCTCAGTTCCCTCCCTCAGTTCCCTCCCTCAGTTCCCTCCCTCAGTTCCCTCCCTCAGTTCCTTCCCTCAGTTCCCTCCCTGAGTTCCCTCCCTCAGTTCCCTCCCTCAGTTCCCTCCCTCAGTTCCTTCCCTCAGTTCCCTCCCTCAGTTCCTTCCCTCAGTTCCCTCCCTCAGTTCCTTCCCTCAGTTCCTTCCCTCAGTTCCCTCCCTCAGTTCCCTCCCTCAGTTCCCTCCCTCAGTTCCTTCCCTCAGTTCCTTCCCTCAGTTCCCTCCCTCAGTTCCTTCCCTCAGTTCCCTCCCTCAGTTCCCTCCCTCAGTTCCCTCCCTCAGTTCCTTCCCTCAGTTCCTTCCCTCAGTTCCCTCCCTCAGTTCCTTCCCTCAGTTCCTTCCCTCAGTTCCCTCCCTCAGTTCCTTCCCTCAGTTCCCTCCCTCAGTTCCCTCCCTCAGTTCCCTCCCTCAGTTCCCTCCCTCAGTTACCTCCCTCAGTTCCTTCCCTCAGTTACCTCCCTCAGTTCCTTCCCTCAGTTCCCTCCCTCAGTTCCTTCCCTCAGTTCCTTCCCTCAGTTCCCTCCCTCAGTTCCCTCCCTCAGTTCCCTCCCTCAGTTCCCTCCCTCAGTTCCTTCCCTCAGTTCCCTCCCTCAGTTCCTTCCCTCCTTCCCTCAGTTCCCTCCCTCAGTTCCTTCCCTCAGTTCCCTCCCTCAGTTCCTTCCCTCAGTTCCTTCCCTCAGTTCCCTCCCTCAGTTCCTTCCCTCAGTTCCTTCCCTCAGTTCCCTCCCTCAGTTCCCTCCCTCAGTTCCTTCCCTCAGTTCCCTCCCTCAGTTCCCTCCCTCAGTTCCTTCCCTCCTTCCCTCAGTTCCCTCCCTCAGTTCCTTCCCTCAGTTCCCTCCCTCAGTTCCTTCCCTCAGTTCCTTCCCTCAGTTCCCTCCCTCAGTTCCCTCCCTCAGTTCCCTCCCTCAGTTCCCTCCCTCAGTTCCTTCCCTCAGTTCCCTCCCTCAGTTCCTTCCCTCCTTCCCTCAGTTCCCTCCCTCAGTTCCTTCCCTCAGTTCCCTCCCTCAGTTCCTTCCCTCAGTTCCTTCCCTCAGTTCCCTCCCTCAGTTCCTTCCCTCCGTTCCCTCCCTCAGTTCCCTCCCTCAGTTCCCTCCCTCAGTTCCCTCCCTCAGTTCCCTCCCTCAGTTCCTTCCCTCAGTTCCCTCCCTGAGTTCCCTCCCTCAGTTCCCTCCCTCAGTTCCCTCCCTCAGTTCCTTCCCTCAGTTCCCTCCCTCAGTTCCTTCCCTCAGTTCCCTCCCTCAGTTCCTTCCCTCAGTTCCTTCCCTCAGTTCCCTCCCTCAGTTCCCTCCCTCAGTTCCCTCCCTCAGTTCCTTCCCTCAGTTCCTTCCCTCAGTTCCCTCCCTCAGTTCCTTCCCTCAGTTCCCTCCCTCAGTTCCCTCCCTCAGTTCCCTCCCTCAGTTCCCTCCCTCAGTTCCTTCCCTCAGTTCCTTCCCTCAGTTCCCTCCCTCAGTTCCTTCCCTCAGTTCCCTCCCTCAGTTCCCTCCCTCAGTTCCTTCCCTCAGTTCCCTCCCTCAGTTCCCTCCCTCAGTTCCTTCCCTCCTTCCCTCAGTTCCCTCCCTCAGTTCCTTCCCTCAGTTCCCTCCCTCAGTTCCTTCCCTCAGTTCCTTCCGTCAGTTCCCTCCCTCAGTTCCTTACCTCAGTTCCCTCCCTCAGTTCCCTCCCTCAGTTCCTTCCCTCAGTTCCTTCCCTCAGTTCCCTCCCTCAGTTCCTTCCCTCAGTTCCCTCCCTCAGTTCCCTCCCTCAGTTCCCTCCCTCAGTTCCCTCCCTCAGTTACCTCCCTCAGTTCCTTCCCTCAGTTACCTCCCTCAGTTCCTTCCCTCAGTTCCCTCCCTCAGTTCCTTCCCTCAGTTCCTTCCCTCAGTTCCCTCCCTCAGTTCCCTCCCTCAGTTCCCTCCCTCAGTTCCTTCCCTCAGTTCCTTCCCTCAGTTCCCTCCCTCAGTTCCTTCCCTCAGTTCCCTCCCTCAGTTCCCTCCCTCAGTTCCCTCCCTCAGTTCCCTCCCTCAGTTCCTTCCCTCAGTTCCTTCCCTCAGTTCCCTCCCTCAGTTCCTTCCCTCAGTTCCCTCCCTCAGTTCCCTCCCTCAGTTCCTTCCCTCAGTTCCCTCCCTCAGTTCCCTCCCTCAGTTCCTTCCCTCCTTCCCTCAGTTCCCTCCCTCAGTTCCTTCCCTCAGTTCCCTCCCTCAGTTCCTTCCCTCAGTTCCTTCCCTCAGTTCCCTCCCTCAGTTCCTTCCCTCAGTTCCCTCCCTCAGTTCCCTCCCTCAGTTCCCTCCCTCAGTTCCCTCCCTCAGTTCCTTCCCTCAGTTCCCTCCCTCAGTTCCTTCCCTCAGTTCCCTCCCTCAGTTCCCTCCCTCAGTTCCCTCCCTCAGTTCCCTCCCTCAGTTCCCTCCCTCAGTTCCTTCCCTCAGTTCCCTCCCTCAGTTCCCTCCCTCAGTTCCCTTCCTTAGTTCCTTCCCTCAGTTCCCTCCCTCAGTTCCCTCACTCAGTTACCTCCCTCAGTTCCTTCCCTCAGTTCCCTCCCTCAGTTCCCTCCCTTAGTTCCCTCCCTCAGTTCCCTCCCTCAGTTCCTTCCCTCGGTCTCTTCTCGCCCCCCTTTGTATCCCCCCTCTGTCTCCTCTGATTCCTCCCTCTCTTTCCTACCTCTGTCACCTCTCTCTCTGTTCTCCTACCTCTGTCACCTTTCTCTCTGTTTTCCTACCTCTGTCACCTCTCCCTCTGTTTTCCTGCCTCTGTATCCTACCTCTGTCACCTCTCTCTCTCTGTTTTCTCCCTCTGTATACTCACTCTGTCGCCTCTCTCTCTCTCTCTCTGTTTTCCTACCTCTGTCACCTCTCTCTCTGTTTTCCTACCTCTGTCACCTCTCTCTCTGATTTCCTCCCTCTGTCACCTCTCTCTCTGTTTTCCTGCCTCTGTATCCTCCTTCTGTCACCTCTCTCCGTTTTCCTCCCTCTGTATCCTCCCTCTGTCCCACGAGAGCAAGATGCTGTTTGGTGGCACATGATGAGCCCTATGGCGCTGATGCCACATGTTGCATGACAGCAGGATGCTCATAGGTAATAATCAAGTGTAGCAACTACATTTGTTGACATTAATAGCAAAAGCGGAGCAGCAATGTTTGGTGGAACATGATGAGCCCTATGGCGCTGATGCCACTGCAATGTGCTGATTTGAAATAAATCTTCTTTCATGTGCCATGCTGTGTGCTGTGCCATGCTGTTTGCTGTGCCATGCTGTGTACTCTGCCATGCTGTGCATGGCATGGCATGGCATGGCATGGCATGGCATGCCATGTGTTACGATATGAAATTGTATGAGTAGGCATTCCTGTATGCTGCAGGAGCCGACTCTACCGAGTACGAAGTCGAGGAGTCAGAAGAGTCGAAGCGACGCAGCAACCGTCTGACCAAGACCGATGCAGGCAGAAACATTTGAAGTGAAAAGAGCGGGAACAGGTTTGAAACGGGTTCCCGCGCCGCACGGTTTGAATTTGGTTAGAATAAGGAAATGTACCCCTTAGAGTACATGGCTAGTCTAGGTCTTTTCGTATTCCCCTGTATTCTTATATAAACCAGATGTATGCATGATATTATCAACTCAGTCATTTACATTCACTCTGACCTGAGATTCAAACTTCCGCTGCAACACTACTCTGCGATCAACCCTGAGCGATCCTTCGCTAAGTCCCACTTGGGATTGTAACATGGTATAAGAGCTACGCAGGGATTCTTCGCGTCAACACTTCCTTGAAATTCGCCGAACCAAGAACTGGCGAGCGGCACACGCTCCAAGACTAAGATGGCCGGAGGATCCGGAGGCCAAGCCAATCTGACGGCTGAATGACAAACCAACCCGGCTGCGACAAATGAGGCGACAACTACAATCGGCACTGCCGCACTCGAGCAGTTATTCGCTCGACTTTCAACTATGGAGAAAGAGCTCCAAGATCTGCGCATAGGCGATGCGGGAACCTCTTCCCAACCAGTTCAACCTGGACAACCGGCTGAGAAAAGCCGTGATACCGCCGCGCATACCTTCTCCCTCGACACAGACAAATCAACAACAACAGCCCCCCGTCCAAGTGATGAAGCCATCAACTCTGCGCAAACACGCTTCCTCAGCGTCTAAAAAATCAAAACTACTGCCGCGTTTGACGGCAAGTACTTCTACACATGGAGTTTCGAGCTTGAGCTCCTCCTACAAACGGCGCAGATCTACCATTACTTCGACGGCTCCTATCCTAAACCGGTGGAAAACACCGGAGTCGCCAGGGCTCAGTACTACAGTGAGTCCCTCATGGCCTACAGTGTGCTGCTACGCAACATGACGCCTGCGGAACAACTCAACATTCGCTCCTACAATGAGAGCGACGCTCCAGCCTTGGAAGCTTGGAAGCACCTCGTTGAAGTTTACCAGCCAAAGGATTCGGTAACCGCCAGCAGGCTCCTGCAGCAACTTTTGGAGATAAAGATGGGGCACGGGGAGAAAGCGAATCCGTATATTAACCGCTGTCGCAACATCCGTGACCAGATCACGAAGCATGGGAGTACAATCTCAGAAGAGATTTTCGTCAACATAGTCCTTCAAGGACTCGGGCCAGAGTGGAAGCCCTGTAAGGCGTTACTCCGACAGCGAGGGACAATCTCAGAAGCCGCGCTATGTGCCGCACGCCTGTCCGAACAGCAGGACATGGATTCGAGCAGAACAAGCTCCGCGCCGCGCCGAGAGCGCCTCGCCTTCTACGCTGACAACCGTGAAGAGCGACGACAACCAAGGCGCCATTATTGCAAAATATGCAAAGTCTTCGGACACTCAACGGATCGATGCAAGTCCCGATCCAACTATCGCCACCCAAATTCCACTCACCACAACAACTGGGTCGGCCGACAGGATGCTCGTCATCCTCAGTCTCAGCAACAAACACCTCGTCCACCTGCGCAACATCAACATCAGCAAAGTCAAGGACCTCCATCAGGAGCTCCCAGGAACATCATATCGAACATGACGACGCGCCGACGTCGCACTGCTGAACCTGATGAGGAAGACGAGATTCAAGGAAGACTCCTTGAACCAGAAGAGGGATGGAATACCCCCCTCACTAAAAATTACTATTACCAGTATGACGAAGACGAGCAGGATTGGAACCTGCCAATCACCTTGCGGGAAAGCCCGCCGCATGACAATCAACACTACGTACCGGTGGGATGGAAGGAGGATGAAGACCCTCTCTTCCACAGTCGCTACAAGGCAACCCTGGTGACTCCGCGACTGGCGCTACTTCTTCGCAGAAACAACAACGACAACCACAACACCTGGTACCTGGACAGCTGCTGCGGACAGCACATGGTGGGATCTACGCGCTACGTCTCGAATCTGAGCCGCGCTCCCCCAACTTACGTCACCGTCGCCAACAACGAGCAACTACGCGCCAATGCGTAAGGCATTGTTGTTCTGCAAGCACGAGACAGCAACACTCACATCTCATTCAACGACGTCTCTACGTTCCGAATCTCCGTTTCAATCTGCTCTCGGCTTGACAACTTCGCGACTGCGGCGTCATCCTCACCACGGACCTTGCCACACGCGATCTCATTCTCACATACGCCCCGCCAGATACCCCTCCCGAATCGTTCAAGTATCTCGGACGAGCCCGCTCGATCAACGAGATCTATGTCCTGGACTTCGACGTACCTTCCTGCCAAGCTTCATCCGACGAGCTCGTGGACCTCGTTCCCCTCGAGTTTGCCTACACAAGCAAATGGGAGCACCCAGATGGACGACCATGGGTTCGCCGCAGTCCTCACCCCCGCAAAATCAACTTGCACGACCCAGACATCAATGGTCTCTGTACCACCTGCCACACACCCACGGCAAGCCGCACAGAGCAAATCGAAAAGGAATACGCGGCAATTCAGGAAGCGGAGAGCGCCGAGGCAGAACCTACGGGCATGACGACGCAAGAAGAACTTGCAGTAACAACTCACCGCATCTTCGGCGAACCTAACGTTGACTTCGGACAACCACGTGTCGAACGACCGACACCATATGGAGAGACGCTCCGGTTCATCCTAGAAGCCAACACCACCACCTTCGACGAAGATGGACGACCACGTCCTTACACCCGCGAAGTCTACCGCCGCGAAATTGACACGGCGTGGAAAGATCCTGACGCACCAGAGGAGCTCAGCGTCAAGGAAGAAAAAGACAAGGCCCGGGCGGAAAAGAAACAGAAACTGTTTGAGGAACGTGTCGCGGCTGGATGGGACGAGGAGACAGCACGACGAGGCGCATGGGGAGATGAAGATTACGAACCTGAAGAAGGCGACGGAGCAACCTGGGGATCCGCCACTGGAGCATGGGGAGCCAGCGCCAGCGGTACGGTCAACACGGAAGGATGGGGCAACACCGGCGGATGGGGAGGAAACGAATACGTGGATGCGCCAATCACCAAGGAAGAAGAAGAAGAGATGGAACGCGAGATGCAAGCTGAGCGAGGAGAATCATCCCCTCGCGTCGCCATCCTACTCGGTCGACCCGCGTGCACCCGCTCACCTCCTTCCTCGCCCCACCGATGGCGTGATCGTTGGTCGGAGATTGAGGAGGGGAATGTACCACCAACTCCTCTGCGGGACTCACTTGGTCCAATCTCCCGCCCAGATCCTTTCGCGCGTTTTATTGAAGGCACCACGACTCCACTCACTATAATTCCCGATCACGACTTCCTCGCCCTCTACCTCACCACGGCACCTGCAGAAGGGGAGACAACGGCAGAAACAGAAACAGAGGAGCCGGACAACGAAGCGGAACCAGGAGAAGAGGAAGAACCCCCACTCCAGATCCCGCAAGCCACGGAAGCAGAAGCGGCAGAATACCTCGCTCGCTATAAGCGCACTTCCGGCATCCGCGCCGAAGATGATCTCTGGCACCAGCGGATGGGACACCCCTCGCGCCAGACCCTCGCCAACTGCCTCCGTGCTAAAGTCTTTCCGCCAAGAGCACTGATGCGCCCCGACGGAACAGAACCACACAACACCCCTCACCCAGTCACCTGCACTGTCTGCCCCACAGCCGCTCTCTCTCACAGCGCCTACCCCTCCCTAGAGCCGAGCACCAACCGCTACAAGAAGTTGGAGAAAGTATACAGCGATTTCATCGTGCTCACCGTCGACGGCATCAACGGCGAGAAATATACCCTCACCTTCATTGACGCCTACTCACGCCACGTGTGGATCGCCAACGTTGACGCCCGTTCCAAGGCTCTGGAGGTGTTCCGCATCTTCCTCGCGCACGCGCAGCGACAGACGGGGAGGAAACTGAAGATCTGGCAGAGTGATGGGGCAAAGAAATTTCGCAGCAATGAGCTAGAGAGCGTCCTCACAGAGAAGGGGATCAAGCATGAGATCTCACTCCCCTACGCTCACCAGCAGCAAGGCGTCGCAGAGAGGGTTAACCGCACCCTCATGACAAAAGTCCGCACTCTCATGAACCAGTCCGGCCTGCCCAAGAAGTTTTGGCCTTACGCCATGAACCACGCGGTGCGT